GTTCTCTGTGATCTATGTGTATGGTAAGATAAAACTATATAGCCGCTGTTTCCTACTTAATGAGAATATAGTCTTAGCGATTAGGTTTAAAGATAGAATGCATATATACAGGGTGCAAAAAAAAAATAAAATAATGCATAAAATTTGTATTCCCAATCATATCATATCGTTGTAGCGCAATAATTGTACGTTCAAAATCCTTATTCTATGAGTTTTTTTGGCACCCTGTTCTTCAAGCTTTATCTCGTAATATAGACGGCCGCAGCAATTAAATTGTAAAAACATAGCTGAGAACATGCAAACCTTTACTTGTAGGTAGAAGAAGAAAAAACAAGCAGCAGGGGATGGATAGACAGATGGAAGGGGTAGTAAATGGAAAAATGAAAAGTGGAAAGAGAAAATGAGAAAAGATGATGGAAAAAGAAAATTTAGACAAGAGAAAAGTGAAAGGAGAAATAAATAAAGTGAAAGGGGGTCTTGAATGATTAAGGAGAAAAAGGAGGAAAGGCGAGTATTTAAGGAGGAAAAAATTAGGAAAGACAGGAGTATACGGATTTGACCAGGCGAAAACATAACAAGGTAAATTTACCTTTTTCTTAGTTTTCATTTCAATTTTATACTTTGCTACAACCCGTTATCTAACAGAATTTAAAATAATAAACAAAGCATATTCTTATAAAGCTGACTTCACAGCTGTGGAAAGAATTTGGTTAATATAAACCACCTAAAATAATCTTTTAAATACAAGGCTTCGCTCCCCTTCTATTTCAACTTTTAATAGTTGCTCAATCTTTCAAAAAATTTTGTAGATTTTCAAAATTTTACGAAAATAATATCTTTTTTTGTAATTCTAAGCATCCATAAACCTGGAAAAGATAAACAGAATATATTTTTTATGAAGCTTACTTCACAGCTGTGGAAAGGATTCTGTTGGTATAAAGTGATCAACCCCAAGAATAACAGACGACATACCTTGAATTTAAATCATAGAAGATTAACATCAGTTTGCTTAGTCCTGCACCAGCACATAGAACAATAATAATAAAAATATACCGACGCCATTCTTTATATTTTAGTACTTGTTAGACCAACAGAAAAAGGGCACACCATGCTAGCAGGTCCGGTTATAATACTATCAGAGTCAAGAAGCGTCTCAGATCTTTTAACCTAAACTTCCAGATTTATTCTCGAAGATTTTAACTACGGTAATACATTATCAAAAGAAAGGGGTATTTGGGTTTTCAAAATAATAAATAATTAAGACATTATTTTAACTCTCAAAAACAAAACAAAGAACTGTTCAATTATTCAGATAAAGCAACTTTGAATACAATTTCAAGTGGAACAACCATATTTGAACCACGTCTCATATTTGAGCCGCGGCTCAAATTTTTTGAATTCGGCCTCTGTTTGATCAAGTATGCATTAGGAAATTTAAAACCTAATTTTTTTCAATTTTGGGTTTTCTACAAAATTTTCTAGTGAATTTTGCTACAGAAAAAGAATATAAGATTTAAACACTTTTCAAGCTAGAAAAAACGACGTTATCTCCAACATTATTGATTAGATAATGGTTCATATAGATACCGTTATGAATCTGTCAGTCCTCTAATTAAATTAAGGTCAAATAAAATAACAACGACAGCATTCCCTTTAAAGGGACAGACCGGCATTGTAAGATAGATAAACTGAGTATGCACTGCAATGTTGTGGACAAATTCTTTAGGATTCATTTGAGACATATAAAAAGTTTCCACGATGCATAATTACTGAGTTTGAGCGCGAAGTCGACGTTCAAATTTTTTTTCAGAATAGATTTTTTTTAAATTATTAAATAACGACGACAAAAAATGTAGTAAAAATTCTGTTGTAAACTAATTAGATGTTTAGGAACATATTTCTCAAAAGAAATTTGTCAATAATTCAAAGTTAGAATTAATTATTTCCTTTTTCTTCATAATATTGAATTTCTTATTTTCCATGAATTTGCTTGCTGATTTCTTCAAATTCTTCAAATGTTGTCTTTTCAATAAAAATTCCAGAAAATCTGCAGAAAATCTTTGTGATTAAAGAGAGATTATAGAAAGTAATAATTGAATAAGATTACTTATTTTTGATGATAAGATTAATTTTTATTTTCTCAACCTGTTCCTAAACAACTAATTAGTTAAATGTAGAATTTTGATTACATTTTTTGTCCTCGTTATTTGATAATTAAAAATAAAAATTCTGAAAACGTTCCTATCCAAAAGTACGATTTTGAACGTCGACTTTGCGCTCAAACTCAGGATTTCCAGATTTTTAAAAAGTTTCAAATGAATCCTAAAGAATTTGTCCACAACACAGCATACTCAGTTCAACTAACTTACATTGCCGGTCTGTCTCTTTAAGCATTCAAATATAATTTAGTATTGCTTATAAATATCTAATGGACAACAAATTAGATTAAGTTTACTGCAGCAGAGAAAACAATCAAATTGATAGTTAGGCCTAAAACACGGAATATTGATGACTTGGATCATTTTATGTTATATATGTTTCATGTTCACATACATTTTCAAACATATTTTATTCTCTAATAAATAATTGTTGCATAATAACTGTAAGAATGATTGATTTTTGACTCTGTTTTTACTCACAACTATAATAATACAATAAATTATGTGAAAATTGTCGAAAATGATAATTCTATGTGAATCGTGGATAAAAACGTGTAAATTAAAGTCGCTTATTGGAATTCATTTTTATTTTTTATTTTATTTGATCAATTGAATTATGGACCTATTTCTTAAAGTATCACTTTAGTTCTAAGGTACAATTAAAAATTTTTGTTAGTAATTGCTTAAACTATGGAATACTAGGAAAAAGTGCCGCGTGAATCAAAGACGACAGTTAAATAATATCAAAGCTTAATTTTCATGTTTCTCGGGACACTCTGTATATAACGTGAAGAGCAGCAGTAAACATATAATTGAAGCGATTACCGCAGGAAACTGTAATTTATTTGTAATTTATTTGTAATTTATCTCTAATTTGTTTGTAATTTACATAGACACATGTTATTCTGTTCATATACAATATATCTACTTATTTACAGATATTTACACAAATCTATTCAAAATATTGATCATTTAATGTATTCCTACGATTATATATGTAGGTTAGGTAGGTAGACAGGTTAGGTAGGTAGATAGGTTAGGTAGGTAGATAGGTTTGGCAGGTAGATAGGTTAGGTAGGTAGATAGGTTAGGTAGGTAGATAGGTTAGGAAACTCACCAGGGTTCTATCTACTCTCCTTTAACTCACCAGGGTTCTATCTACTCTCCTTAAACCCTCCAGGGTTCCATCTACTCTCATTTGACTTACCAGAGTTCCATCTACTCTCCTTTAAGTCACCAGGGTTCCATCTACTCTCCTTAAACCCTCCAGGGTTCCATCTACTCTCATTTGACTTACCAGAGTTCCATCTACTCTCTTTTAACTCACCAAGGTTCCATATACCCTCCTTTAACTCACCAGGGTTCCATATGCCCTCCTTTAACTCACCACTACTCACTATCTCTTCTATTCACTGGAATACTATCTATTCTATTCTTCTATGTATAAAGTATTCATTATTTTCCTCTAAAAGCTTGAATAGTTTCTGCATTAACCAAATTCATTCAAAACTTTTCTCAAAGATCTTGAAAAGATGAAATTAAAGTAAGAGGGCTAGTAACACAAGTAGAGAGATATTTAGATTCTAAATTCAAAATATGAAACCACAGATGTAAAAGAAAGGATGAAAGATGAAACCACAGATTTAAAAGAAAGGATAAGAGATGAAACCACAGATTTAAAATAAAGGATAAGAGTTGAAACCACAGATGTAAAAGAAAAGATAAGAGATGAAACCACAGATGTAAAAGAAAGGATAAGAGATGAAACCACAGATGTAAAAGAAAGGATAAGAGATGAAACCACAGATTTAAAAGAAAGGATAAGAGATGAAACCACAGATGTAAAAGAAAGGATAAGAGATGAAACCACAGATGTAAAAGAAAGGATAAGAGATGAAACCACAGATTTAAAAGAAAGGATAAGAGATGAAATCACAGATTTAAAAGAAAGGATAAGAGATAAATCACAGATGTAAAAGAAAGGATAAGAGATGAAACCACAGATGTAAAAGAAAGGATAAGAGATGAAACCACAGATTTAAAAGAAAGAATAAGAGATGAAATCACAGATTTAAAAGAAAGGATAACAGATGAAATCACAGATGTAAAAGAAAGGATAAGAGATGAAACCACAGATGTAAAAGAAAGGATAACAGATGAAATCACAGATTTAAAAGAAAGGATAAGAGATGAAATCACAGATTTAAAAGAAAGGATAAGAGATGAAATCACAGAGTTTATTTACATAGAATAATAGATTCCCTGAGTTCCCTATGTATGTATGTATGTATGTATGTATGTATGGATGTATGTATGTATGTATTTATGTATGTATGTATGTATGTATGTATGTATGTATGTATGTATGTATGCATGTTTTGTAATGTTTGAGTAATGACAACCTAAAATTACGCTTTTATGTTTTCTGTAACATTTTTATGAATTTCTGTAAAAAAAAAAAATTCAAAACTCGAAATTTTTTAAATGAGGGGTTTATTTTCATGAATATTGGTAATGGTGTATATCAAACGAGACTTTTTACATAATTTTGATTAACTCTTCATTCATAGAGTGGTATGTTTACCGATTCACAACAATACCCTGAAAAGTTTTATCGAATTAAAAAAGCATGAGATATCTTTTATTTTCTTTGAAAGTTGATTATTTTCAATTCTGGTTTCACTTTAAAGTAACTTGGGCATGTCTGCTTCAGAAAGAATATTGAGGAAATTGTCACAAACAATATGGAGGAAATCGTCAGAAACAATATGGGAGGAAATAGTCGGAAACAATTTGGAGGAAATCTTCAGAAACAATATTGAGTAAAAAGTCAGGAACAATATGGAGGAAATCGTCAGAAACAATATGGAGGAAATCGTCAGAAACAATATCGAGGAAAAAGTCAGAAACAATATGGAGGAAATCGTCAGAAACAATATTCAGGAAAAAGTCAGAAACAATATGGAGGAAATCGTCAGAAACAATATGGATGAAATCTTCAGAAACAATATGGAGGAAATCGTCAGAAACAATATGGAGGAAATCTTCAGAAACAATATGGAGGAAATCATCACAAACAATATGGATGAAATCGTCAGAAACAATATGGAGGAAATCGTCAGAAACAATATTGGGGAAAAAGTCAGAAACAATATGGAGGAAATCATCAGAAACAGTATGGAGGATATCGTCAGAAACAATATGGAGGAAATCGTCAGAAACAATATTGAGGAAAAAGTCAGAAACAATATGGAGGAAATCGTCAGGAACAATATGGAAGAAATCATCAGAAACACCAATTAAACTAGAAAAAACAACGATATCCTCCTTATTATTGATAAAATAAATGTTTAAGGGCTACCATTGTGAATCGCATATTTTAAATGGTATTTTAAATGAGGTAATTACTGGATTAACCCCCAACAGTTACCAGGGCCAAGTAAAACAAAAACATATTTGTGAAAATACAAAAAAAAGCTACTAATGTTTTAAAATAACTGTTATTACAAATCGGAAAATAATTTGATATAATTATGAAAAACTGAAAATAAACATATATTCTACTCTACATATTTGATTATTTTGATCGAATGATGGTATCATTATTATTATTTCTATCATTAAACTAATTATACTGGTTGACCAACGATCATCAGAATTTAGTTTATCATCATTATTCCATAATTTGTATTTATTTCTTGTTAAAAATAAATAATTCAAAATTTTATTCTGTTTTTCTTTCCTTCGTTATAATTTTGTTAATCTTAAAAAAGCAAAAAGAGTTAAATTTAAGAATTCATCAACTAGTGGAAAAAACAAGATCTGAATTCTTGGAAGTATTATTCCAAGCTTTCGTGCAAATAAATATTTGAAATAATGATTAGGGAAGCGAAACTAGAGATTAACAGAGACTTCTTCGAGTTCATAGCATGCTCAATTACAGAAAATGTACACAGTGTACACTGCACAGTGTTAGTCTCTACTAATGTTAGTCTCTGCTTATCACTTTGTTGGTTTTGGCAAGTCCTTTATACTATGTGCTTATCTCTGAGTTTCTTTTAGTCTCTGTTGTCTCCGGTAGTCTCTGCTTTATTTTCTGTTAGTCTCTGTTTTCTTTGTTTGTCTCTTATGGTAGTTTATGCTAGTCTCTATGTTTGATGTTAGTTTTTCCTGCTAGTTGTTGATAGTCTTTGTTTGTCTCTGCTTGACTCTTTTAGTCTGTTTGTTTTTCCTGCAAGTCTCGGCTAGTTTTCCTGCGAGTCTCCTAGTTTTTAAAAGTCTCTGTTTGTCTTTGTTGGTCTCTGCTACTCTCTGAAAATTTTTGCTTGACTTTGTTAGTCTCTGTTAATTTCTGCTAGACTCTACTTGTCTCTTATAATCTCTGCTAGTCTCTTATAATCTCTGCTAGTCTCTTATAATCTCTGCTAGTCTCTTATAATCTCTACTAGTCTCTGATAATCTATACTAGTCTTGGTTCGTCGCTGCTAGTCTCTAAAAATTTCTGCGAGACTCTATTAGCCTCTTATAATCTCTGCTAGTCTATTATAATCTCTGATAGTCTCTGATAGTCTCTTCTAGTCTCTACTAATTTCTGCTAGACTCTGCTTGCCTCTTATAATCTCTGCTAGTCTCTTATAACCTCTGCTAGTCTCTGATAATCTCTACTAGTCTCGGCTAGTCGTTGCTAGTCTCTACTTATTTCTGCGAGACTCTATTAGCCTCTAATAATCTCTGCTAGTTTCTTATAATCTCTGCTAGTCTCTGATAGCCTCTACTAGTCTCGGCTAGTCGCTGCTAGTCTCTGATAGTCTCTACTAGTCTCGACTAGCCGCTGCTAGTCTCTACTAATCTCTGTGCAGGATTCTGAAAAGTTTTAATTATTCTTCAAAGTTTAATTATAAGATAATTATTGGTAATCAGATCATTTAACGCTAGATTTAAAAGAAAGAATAAGAGATGAAACCACAGATTTAAAAGAAAGGATAAGAGATGAAACCACAGATGTAAAAGAAACCTCCCTCCTCCCTCCTCCCTCCTTATTTTTACAATGTGTGAAAGAAAGATGAATTGTAGAAGCTAATTCTTTCAAGTCTATGCTAAAATCTTTACAACATACGAGAAAATATATGTGATCCAACGGATTCACATTCAGATATTACTCACGATAAGAAATGTACTTGCATTCCATTAAAGGGAGTGCAAGCTTAATCTACTTGGATTCCATTAAAGGGAGTGCAAGCTTAATTTTAAGTGACCCTTCGTGCCTCAAAGCAAAAATGGCAACGCCTGATTAATAACTGTACCCTTAAAACCTTTGTCTGATTAAGTATGAATGAGCCATCCATGTTTTTGTTTCTTCAAGCTGTCTATTTTTTTTTGCGTTTTCTCGGCGAAAGTGACTTGCACATTTCTTGCCGACAAGAAGCAATGGAAAAATTATCAGAATTAAATACTTTTCGAGTCAATAAAACGACGATATCTTCCTCATTTTTGATCAGGTTAAAGTTTTTTATGGTACCGTTGTGAATCAGGCGTTGGCATTATTGCATGGAGAGTCACTTGAAATTACGTCTACAGTCTCTTTAAACTTAAAGTTCTACTATCTATACTCCTAGATTTAGATACATAAACCAAAATTAAAATTTTAGACTAGAAATCGAATATAACTGATTATACTGTAAACCTTTATAAACTCCAAATTGTAGACATGGCTAAAAATTGCAATCCTAATCCTATTATATAAAGCTACATAACCGCCAAATTATAACAGGTAAGAAATAATAGAAAAAAATAAGTAATATTTTCTGTTTCTTTTAAAACCTTTCAATATCTTTTGAAAGAAATGTCAAGGACAGCCTGGCAATTCTTTTTGTTGCTGCTGCCGTTTGCTATAGTAATTTAACCTTGTAAATCAAAATTTTCAAAAAAAAATTTTAAATCTTATGTTACATTTTTGAAGAAATATATTTTTTAAATTATCAAAAATCCAGACCAGCCATGAATTTAAATAACCACTCCTGAGGCAATGAATCTAGGGTGTCAAATCGATTATCTAAGGTTATCTACAACATCTTTCATTAAAATTTAAAAAATTTTAGATCTTAAATTACCTTTCTAAGAATTTGGGAACAGCAAAACAAAATGTATCTAAAATGTTCAATTCAAAGTGATCCAAAGTCGCAAAAATCGTTGAGAATTTTGCCAAATACTTCTTGAAAACTAAAGCTACAATATATACTGCTTTTGTCTAGGGTTACAAAATGACTGAGTTAGAAGGGTCAAAGTCTTAAAAATCATGCCACCTTTCAATTAGAGAATTTTTATCCAAAATATGGGCAAAAAATGAAAAAATTGACTCAGCAAAACTCATATTTAAAAAAGAAAAGTAATATAGCGGTGAAAAATCCTTAAAACTTAAAATAAGCTTTCCCGTGATCATTGACCACTCTTTTAACAGACTTCATGAAGACACTCAATCTGCTCTAATTGTGAAAGTGTAAAGAATTATTGATGAATAAACATTTTCGTTCGATTAAACTTAATCAATACTAATTATTCATTCGTAAAATTGAATATCAATTTACCTGCTTTTGTTCTGTTTAATCAAAAGAAATTAAACAAATTTCTTTCAAAAGCTATATTAAAAAAATGTTCCCGAAAAATTAAAGAGTTAAGAAATTGACAATATATATATATATATTATTATTAAAATGTGAAGTTTAAAAACTGAAATATATATCGTTTTCGATTACGTTTTGATTTAACTATTCATAAAAATAAAGAACGAAATAGAGAAGTCCTTTTATTTATATTTTCTATTCCTTGTCATCGCAATACAGCTTTTATTCAGGAAAATTTTCAGATTTGCAATGAATGTATTTGACAATTTTATTTCAATAATATTTTTACATTCATTCTTTAAAATGCATTTATATCTATTTTATCGGTAAAATCTACAACGCATGAATGAAACAATGTACGTAAAATTTAATTGGATGTTTATTTAGATGAATTATATATCATCGTTTTCCAGGGAATTATTTTTAATAACTAAACTTTAAGATTTAAGATATTTAGATTATGTTCTCGTAATATATATCTAAAATATATTAAGATTATGTTCTCGTTATAACCTTCATGCTTCAGCTAAATGGTTCGATCAAAGTGAATTTGTTTCATAAAAAAAGTAAATTATGTTTTTCTTTTTGTATGTCCAATCATAACTCAAGAACCCCTTAACTAATTTGGCTGAAATCTTGTTCCTTAATGTGTGTATTCTTTCATATTTTTAAAGGGACTGTAAGCGTAATTTCAAGTGTTCCTCTATGTAAAGATCGAGGCAATGATCGATTCACAACGGTACCCTTAAAAGCTTTGTCTGATCAAGTATCTAGATATCAATTATTACATTTTAAAAACAGATTACTTTGATTTTTATTTGTAGATTCTCTACAAAAGTGAATTGAGCAATTCGCTTTCCAACTAGGAAGACATAATTAAAGTAATTATCAGAATAAAAAAAGTTTACACCTAAAATATCGACAATATCTTCCACATACTTGATCACATAAAGGTTTCAGGTACCAATGTGAATCGGATATTGCCATGGCAATAATGATACCTTGAAATTCCGCAAACACTACCTTTAATGAATGTGTACTGCAGATTGCATGTAAGCTGTAAAATATTTTACGATGCATTTAACAATTTAACGAATCATGAATTGGGTTTATTGCGTTTTAGCATAATTAGCTCGTCATTTTATTCTCACTTGGATTTTGAGAATAAAATCGTTCAAGATAAAGGGATAGTTCAACAATTTGTAAATAAACATACTATCGCAATTTTTTTACAAATGAAATCAAAGTTAGATTTTTAACTAATACCCAATCTAATCTAATCTAATCTAATCTAATCTAATCTAATCTAATCTAATCTAATACCCAATCTGTTATTTGCTTTTTTCCAGTTTATATAAAGGAAATGAGACTTTGCCACAAATTCAAATGTTCTAATCCTTATTTCTTTGCAGCCTGATGGCTTAAACCTTTTTATTTCAAAATTAAATTATTTGATTAAAATTCCTGAAAAAGTATTAAAAAATCCGCAAATTATTAGTGTCGGATTCTGGAAGCAAAGAAAACCTCCTTATATACCCTCGGTATTCATAAAGTAGTGTTATCAAGAAGCAATAAATATTTGTATTTATGTATTTAAATATCAGAAAACAATCCCTTTATGGCAGCCATTTACCTCAAATTTTCTTCATCATGCACATCTCATAGAATAAATAAATTTGTTTT